CTCCTTTTGTTCTCAAAGAAAGAACTGTCTGCACATGAGTCCGTCCAGTAGCCATGACACCCTCTAACAGATGTAACATGTAGGAACTTTTTAAAAACAAGCGCGTTCATGCTCACAGGTGTACACACGGGTGCTCACATACACAAACTACACCTTTTTGGCTCCTACCTTAAAGCACACTGTGCGCTGTCGATCTTACGTGCTGCACAATAATGTTTAACATTTAGTATTTACTGTTATATTCCCATAGATCATCATGATGTTGTTTATTCTATTGCTCTAGTCTTCTTCTGCTTGTTTGCTTTTTTTATCAACAGGTGATCCAGGAAAAGAGGGGGGAAAAAAAGGTGATGAAGCAAATTTTCATTGTCTTTTCTCTCTATCTCTTTTCTCCCTTTTCTTTCCCTCTCCTTCTGTTAACTTTCTTCTGAACTTTTCTTCTTGTTTTTCTTTCCCGTCCCCGAGTCCAGTCTGGCCTGATTACAATAACTTAGAATACAAATAACTAATAAAAGGAAAAAAAACAATGTAAGATGGACAAGAAAAGTTCAAAGCCATCAGGTGCTCATTTTAGAAAAAATAGAAAAGGAAGAGAAACAAGCAAAAGATACAGGTAAGCAAATGTGTCATTGGATAATGGCAGGTCATCATGAAACAATCAGTCAGAATCAGAATACTTTATTAATCCATAAGGAAATAATGTGGATTACAGTTTCTCCAAAAAGAAATGGTAAAAATAGTAACAGTAACAGACTAAACTCCAAACAATACATTATGTTACAGATTTTTATATTAATTAGTCATTGTCAATTGTTGATTTGTCCTGTTCTCATTGTATGACGAATTATGATGGCTGTTTGGTAGCCGTTTGCATACAATGCATACTTCCTCTCTCTTCATATGTGTGTGTTTCTCTGGCAAAATTCAGTATGGTTCTGACAACAGTTTTATGTTAATGTATAATCCTTAATATGGTTTATGTGTGTGTGTGTGTGTGTGTGGTGGGGGGCAGAGGGAGCGTTCGCCCGGGGCGCCAAACAGGCTAGGACCGCCACTAAGTGCAATGTTTATACAAAAGGCAACACAATCAGAAATTGGAAGTAACATACAAACACTAGTTAATGTTAATTCTTTTACCCTTTAAAGCTTACGACGAATAACCCCTGAGGCTCTTTTCCAAACGGAATGATTTCTGTCATATTTTAAGCTGCTTGTAGAATAAAATCACTGAGTGTGCATTAAAATTAAGTGAATGCGGTCTCTCACTGTATACATCATTACTGATATACACTGAGTTGTGAAACTCATCATTAAGAATAGACTTGAGGTCTTCAAATCCTGTCTTTATTGTGGAAGGAATGAAGAATGAAATCTGTCATGATTATCAAGGATAAACAGTCAGTCCTTCAGCCGATTAGTCAAGCCGAGCGCAATGAGAAGCTTCTGGTGAAATGCTGGTATCCTTTCCTTATGGACAGGCCAGTCCAGAATGCAACGTGAACGTAACATTCCTCTGCGGAGGAAGAGTGAGTGAAACAACTTGTGGTCGTGCACATCC